AACAATTGTTTTATGACATCCGTGACTATAAATCAGTGGTTCTCAACCTTTTTAATGCTGCGACCCCCAACCGGTCATAAGTCGAGGACTACTCAACCGATCGTAAGTCGAGGACTACTCAACTGGTGCAGCACTGTTTGCAGAATGGGACTTTTGGCGGGCTCAGCAGGGCAGAGACAGCCTGGACAATTCCTATTGGCTTTTGAAAGCCAATAGAATTAGACTCTATTCAAGAGAGTCTATTCTATTGGCTTTCAAAAGCCAATAGAACAAAAGGGAGTAGCACAGCCAAGGAAAAGGGGGAAAAAATGGCCGACTGCGTTGTTTGGTGACCCCCATGAAATGGTCGTTTGACCCCAAATGGGGTCCCAACCCACAGGTTGAGAACCACTGCTATAAATGGATGCACCAAACCTCCAAGGCAATGGTCATATAAGGGGAGACAAAGGCCAACCAGGCAACTGCATGTAGAGCATATCATCCACTTCAAGAGATTGGAACTTCCACTCATAGGGAGACTATATCACATTTTTCCAGAAGCCCTTCTTGAACTGATTTTTGAGCAAGGTATGGAAAAAGGAACACTGCTTGCAAAAGTGGATATTGAATTGATAAACTCTTGACTTGTGGTAGATACCTTTCTTTCAAAATTAGTTTGTCATTCAACAAGACTTTATACAAAACGAAACAGCTCCCAACCCACATCCTATGCCTACACTCAGCCTACTTTGATCTTAAAAAGGTACTGTGTAGAAGGTGTGTGTGTTTTTTTTAAAGCAATCATTTCTATTGGCTATTTTTGGCATGACCAGGGACTTATACAGATCTTAGCATATATACAATTTTTTTAAAAAATCAGATTTGCAGCAATGAAGACAAATTTTTTAGTTTTACGTAAATTAATTTTAAGGAAAGCTTAGTTTGTTTTGGTTTTGAAATAAGTTTTTCAGTCTACGGTTCAAATAATTGAAAAAGCTATATTGAAAATATATAGGCAAGATGCATTTTCTTTATCATGATTGTTTGAAGGTTGCAAACTTGAAAGAAAGCTTTTGTTTTGTTTGTTGTAAGCTTTTCTTAGCTACAGTAAAGAGCAATATTAACTTATGCATATAACAACAATTAACATAGGATAAATCCAAAAGCAAGCACTTCATGGAACTAAACTATACAAATTTGCAAGTACATACAAAAACTTGATTGATCAATTACTAGAAGCAAAATGTTATAGACAGCTTCCATGGAAAAATATCCCTAGTAATTCTGTTCAATTCAATGTGATTTAACTATATAATAGAACTTTCATAAACTTGTTGAGATTTGTCAAAGTGGTGGCAGGATGCATCTAGAATAGACTGGTTACTATGAGTCACAAAGATTAATCATGATCCAGGCATACCAAAAACAATACAGTGGAACATTTAGTTCAATCTTACTGATTATTTAGAAATTTCATTGGTTTCAATGTGCCTGCTCTCTTGTAAGCATGGAATCTTTTACCATAAACCAGCTAAACTGAGTGGTAGAGTCTTGTCATATATTATGAAAGAGAATTGGCTCCTAAAGATGATGATTAATGTCTATAAAATACTTAATTCACAACTGTTCATATGATCTCTTTAAAAAGGTAATAAATTGATGTTAAGTAATGCAAAAGCTGACCTTAATATTTCAGCTGTGTAGCTGACTTCTAATGGATTTTGCTTACTTTGATTGTCATGAGAGGGAAAATAAATTGGACTTAGAAACTATTATGTTAACTATATTATTTAATTTAGGAAAAATCCGTACAGAAACCATGGAACACTATAGACCTTCTATTTCTGCAACGAAGACAGAAGGAGAATCTTCATGGCCATCTAAAAATACATTGTGGGCATTTTTTTAAATTTTATTGTCCACCTCACATATATGACTCTGGGTGGCTAATGATAATAACCACCTCTGCCGGAATCATAAAGCAATCAGACATACCACACACTCAGAGCTCCAGGCTTGGGCAGAAGTTTTCAAGGTCACAGAAAAAGCCAGCAGAGTCAGGGCCAAGCTGACCTCTGATGGGATAATGTTGCACAGAGTGGACACTAGAGCAGAAAAGCCCCCCCTGTTTTTGGTCCACCTACTGACAGTCTTTAGCCAATGGGACCTGGGACATACCCCTCCCATTGGGTCATGTATATAGCGACCATACATCCCTTTATTACGAAGAACAGTCCTTCATTTCAGAAAGTTGTCCTTTAGATTTATTTTTCAAAAACTCTTATTTGGCCAAACAATGGGGGAGAGATGCTCTTGTAAATAACCCAGTCCCAATCCATGAAGGGTTTTAAAAGCGACTACCTTGAATTACACATGGAAGAAACTGGTAGCCAATGCAGTTTACGGAGCAAGGATGTCATGCCTGCAAATATATTTCAGCATTATCTGGAAAGTTCTAAGTTGCCCACTTCTGCTTTAAATGAGATATATATATATTTGAATTGCCCCACATGGTAATCTTTTATTTAGTCACCTAATCATACCGTTTGGCGCCAATCAGGAGCCCTCGTGGCACAGTGGTTAAGTGCAGTATTGCAGACAAACTCTACCCACAGCCAGGAGTTTGATCCTGATGGGGCTCAAGGTTGACTCAGCCTCCCATTCTTATGAGAACCCAGATAGTTGGGGGCAATATGCAAATAATGTTTCTACCTTGTAAACCACCCAGAGAGTGCTATAAGGCACTATAGCACAGTATATAAGCCTAAATGTTATTGATGTAGAGCATCAGCAAAGTATAAGCCAATACATGCTATTAATTAATTTATGCTATTAATAGTTCTATTTATTATATATAGTCAAAAACCCCTCCATTTTTCTGCCTTTACCAAGTAAAAATAAGTGGAGTGCTGTAAAAACAAACACCTAACTCACACCCACACAGACACATCTTCTGTAGGAGCTGGAAAGGATTAAGTTAATTTTCCCATGATAAACAAGGGGAAAGGGTGAAAGGGTGGGGATGAAAATGTGTTATTCTGTCACAGTGAAACTGGCAAATCTAGTCCTTTAAACATTGTAAACAATCCACATTTTGTAAAAGTTCAGATGTTTTGAAAGATTAAGCACTAAAGTGTAGCCCTAAAATAAACCTGTAAAAAAAAAAATCATGCTGCTAAACAGGAAACGTAACGAAGTAAACCTGTGAAAATCAAGAGCCTGCAGTTGACAAAACCACCTTATTTTGCACCTTAATGGATCTTAACCACTATATTCAAGCAGTCACCTTCAGTAAATCCCATCATTTTTTAATGTGGCTTAATCTCTGAATAGGAAGATTATCCAGAATAAAAGTGCCAGATTCAGAAGTCCTGCAATGGAGATGCTCACTTTGCACCTGTAAAAAGATTGTCTTAGTGGCTTCGTTGTGAAACCTAAACCATCATGCAGCTGATCTAAGTGCAAATATTCTAAATCAAGCCATACATGGTTTTGGAAAGCAAGACAAGAATCAGTTGTAGAAAACTTGTCAAGCCTTTCATGGCAGGCATGCTCAGGAAACAAGACCTACATGGATTTCTGGAAAGATCTTGATTGCTAGTAAAGAATGGTAACAGAATCTTGAAGACCTATCCAAATAATTCTCTAGTCTACCTATATCTAATATAGCTAAGCGCTATTTCCTCCCTTAACTATTTTCTGCCTCCTGTGTGTTCCTGTGATATCTTATATATTCCATAATAAAACTCCAGAGAAGTTAAGTGTTGACTAAACATTAGGAGAAACCTTTACACAGAACAAATTCTTTAAAAATTGAAATATCTTGGAAACCTGTACCTTTTTTGCTGGAAATATTTGAGCAGAGTTTGTAGATTCAGTTGCACATTGTGTTACAGGTAGTCCTTGACTTACAACCGGTTGTTTAGTGACTGTTCAAAGTTATGAACTGCCCCAAAGCTACTTACAACCTAGTTTTGAGATTCTGACTACATTTTGGATGCTTGGCAACTGTCCCACGTTTACAACCATTTGCAGTGCCCCATGGTCATGTGACCACAACTTACAATTTTGCTAGAAACTGGAGTTTACTTCTGGTTTCTGGCAAAAACTGGCCCACAGCAAACAATAAGTGGGTTTAACAATCATTCATTTACAACCTCTCCCTTTACTTAACAACTGCCACAAAAAAATTTGTCAAATTAGCTCCAGTCATGCCGTGACCTGCTTTATGACTGTCCCAATTTACGATCGCAATTGCGGGGTTCAATTACAGTTGTAATTCAAGGACTACACGTATACTGGACCACATGACTTCCAAAGACTTTTCTAGCTTTCTAGTGATTGATCCGTGAAAGATAAACTTGGAATGAACTGTGCATTGGTTCTGAGTATGGAAATCATGAATCCTAAAACCAAGGAAAATAAATCCATGGGGTCACAAGGCAGAAATATCTGGATGCAGGCAACCTTAAAGCAGACCCATTGAGCTTTGGGAGTGTGTAGATTCTTCAGAACTTGGAGGGCCAAGTCAGTCTATCCCAGTGCTTCCCAAACTTGACAATTTTAAGGCATGTGGACTTCAACTCCCAGAATTCCACAGCCAGAGTTGAAGTCCACATGCCTTAAAATTGTCAAGGTTGAGAAACACTGGTCTATCCTGAGAACAAAGAGCTCTCCAACTTCTCAATCAGTTAGTTGAAAATAATTTAAAACTGAAACTAGTTTTATTATTTTGCAAGTGATTGAAATTATGTCTTTTTATTAAGAAAACTGAAAGGGCATTCAAATTCCAACGCATCTGGTTTTTTTGAAGACTCAAATAACGAACATAAATAAAAATGGGCTTCCCATCACATGATACAATATTTTCTTGAGAAATTATGTCCTTTGACATCCGATTGGTGCAACAATAAAATGGCACAGATATTCTTCCATTTGAAAAAGTTTAATTTAATGTGGTGAAATTAAATTTATAAAAAATAAAACAAGCAGCAATATAATAAAAGCTCTTGTCATTGTTGTTTTTTTTTAAAAAGTTGGTATTTTTAACTAAACTGCAAAAACATTTCTAGCGGTTTGACAAATCCAGTGTGGAACATTAATTCAATCTCTGTTCAAGAGAGAAATGAAGGATGATCTTCTTATTCTGTAAGTAAAAAAAATGCACATTAAAAAGTATAAGCAGTATCATAATAAAACATTTATTAGACGTCAAATAAGCAATTTCAAAAGCTTACCCATGAAAACACAAAAATAACCCTGATTGAAAATGTACATATAAAATAAAGAATATAAGTCTCAGGGATTCAATTCCAGAAATCTAGTAACTTCCCCCAAAAATCATCACTGCAACACAAACATGAAAGTGGTGACTAGAATTTCACAAAACAGCATCTCTTTAATCAATCTCTCATGCTTTTTCCATCATCAGAGTTAAAATACAGACCCGAGAGTAGTTCTCTACTGTCAGCGTAAGTCCATATATCAGTGGTTCTTGGGTTAGGACCGGCTCTGAGACTGCCTTTGCTAAGTGATGCAGTTATAAAGTGATAATGTCATATGACTGTGCCATTTAGCAACAATAATTTACAGCAGTCGCAGTTGCTGTTGTAACCCCAAGATGCATGAATTGTTAAGCAGGAAGTGGCAGAAGTTCCAGAACAGAGGAGGGGTGCCAGGGAGTGTTGGGGGAAGGGGAGGAGGCTGGGGAAGACCATGGGACGCCTGGCACAGTCTGTGTCAGTGGTTCCCAACCTTTTCTATACCCCACACCCCTAGAACGCTTCTGATATATTCTCGCACCCCTTACAAAAGTTCGAAATAACAAATTATGCATATACACTACAATTTTGAAACTTCTAAATCCAAGTTTTCGCAGCTCCTGGAATATTGTCTCGCACCCCCAGTAGAGAACCCCTAGTCTATGGGCAAATGCGGAAAGGCTGGGGGATGGAGGGTACAGCATGGCACAAGCTCTGGAAGGCTCCGGAAGGCCGGGGGAGGGAAGGTGTGGTGGCACAAGTACAGGAAGATTGAGAGACTGAGGGGGCAACACGGCACAGGAAGACTTATCAGAGCAACTGGTGACTCCCCTGCCAGCTTCCCCATTGATTTTGCTTGTGGGAAGCCGGCAGGGACGATTGCAAATGGCGGTCAGACACCCACGAGACGCTGCAGCCATTTTAACTGCGAGCAGGTTGCCAAACCCCTGAATTATGATCATATGACTACAAAGGTTACACAGGTAGCCCTCGACTTACAACAGTTCATTTAGTGACCATTCAAAATTATAACTGCACTGGAAAAAGTGATTTATGACCGTTTTTCAGACTTACAATTTTTGTAGCATCCCCGTGATCATGGGACGAAAATTCAGATGCTTGGCAACTGGTTCATTCTTATGACAGTTGCTATGTCCCAAAGTTATGTGATCACTCTTTGCAATCTTTGAACAAGCAAAATCAACGGGGAAGCCAGATTCGCTTAACAATCATATTACTAATTTATGAACTGCAATGATTCACTTAACAACCGTGGCAAGAAAGGTTGAAAAATGGAGCAAAACTCACTTACCCCATGTCTCACGTAACAACAGACATTTGGGGCTCAATTGTGGTCATATGTCAAGGACTACCTATAAGTACTACTCTTCTAGTGAAGGGCTTTTCAACCTTTTCACCCATTGTACCACTTTTAGGATATGGCAACATCTGAATACCACCAGTCGCCTAGCAAGGTGTCAAAAACTTGATGACCCCCCCCCCAAAAAGGAAAAAAGTGACGAAGTACAGGTAGTCCTCAACTTACAACAGTTCGCTTAGTGACTGTTCGAAGTTACAATGGCACTGAAAAAAGTGGCTCCCAAGCCACAGCTGAGCAAGACACCTGCCTGCCCACCCGGCGGTGCTCTTCCTCCTGTCTGAGGTTTTCATTGTTGTGAGCATTTCTGTTGAACATTGGCAGTGGGAGTGGGGGGTGTTTGGTTTTTATTCCCCCCCCATCTGCTGGGTGGTTGCAGCAGGTTTTGGTCACTTCACATGACCCTGGGACACTGTGACCGTCATAAATATGAATCAGTTGCCAAGCATCTGAATGTAAATCACAAGACCCTGGAGATGCTGCAACATTCCAGCTGATCGGTGCTTCTTCTGGGCTCAGCAGAAGCGCCAGGATCAGTGCCAAGCTCCAGCTGGAGCCTGGCGCTGATCCTGGCGCTTCCACTGAGCCCTGACAGCCCTGCAGCTCCAGTCATCTCTCCCTCAGGCTTGTGCGGTGCTGCCACCGGTTCAGCTCATTCCCCCCTTTCGCTACCATCTTTCTAGGATGGTCGCGTACCACCTGCCAGGTGCCAATGTACCACAGGTGGTACCCATACCACTGTTTGAAAAGCCTTGCTCTAGTGCCATTGCAACTTTCAACGATCACTAAATGAGCGATCAAAAAGCAAGGACTACCTTTTGACTTGTTGAAAGTTTGGGTGCAACCACTGATACCGTATGATAAATTGGAAACTATAGTTAGAGTTAATAATGGTCCCTATCTAGGCTGTTTGCTAGGGGATCTTATACGATGCAAAGTAAGAAGAGAAACACAAGACAAAAAAAGAAAATTACTGACCAGTGAGGGAGTCAGCCACTTCTAAATATTTTTGTTAGACTTTCCAGATCTTCAGTTTTGATACATAATTCTTCAAGCAAGGTAGCAAGGAACTGTGTATATCCTTTATTTTGCTGAGAATGTGCAAAAGCAGGGATATTTTCTGACAAACTGAAAGGCAAAAATTGAGTGTTTTCAGAAAGATGTAATCTTATTGTGTCAAATAGGTGGATATAAATGTCAAATATGAATCAAGAAGTAATCACAACATCAATCATGTTGGTAATTAGTCACTTCTGGAAATATTTTCATAAAGTCTTTTAAAAGTCCCTGAAGTATATTATTTGTAATAAATTAAGATAAAAAAAGTAAGACACTTTAAAATAGTAGCAAATTCCTGCGATGTTTTCCAACAGTAATTAAATAGCCCTGTCTTAGGAACAAAGCCAGCTGGATGACCGTGGGCCAGCCACTTTCTCTCCACCCTAGGAAGGAGGCAACGGCAATCTACTTCTGAAAAACGTTGCCAAGAAAACTGCAGGGATTCGTCAAGGCAGTCTCTGGGACATGATTGAATGGAAGAAAAAAATCCACGCACAGATTGAGTCTCCAAATTGAGCCCCCCCCCCATGGGATGTTGTATGAGAGTGTGTATATACTTCAGAGGATTTCCAATCTCTCCCACTCACAAAGGTATTACACACATACATTTTAAAGGTGCAGCATTCAATTCTTCCTGCCGCTTCCAAAATGCTCACAAAGAGCAAAATCATTGCTGGCAACTGCTAAAAAATTGCTTCCAGTCAAATTGGACTGAAACGGAGGGATCAACTACATCAATAATTAATATGTTGAACTGTAACCAATTCCTTATATACAAATTCTTATTCTCACGCTTAAATTACTTTTTGGACTGTAGTGTAAACCAGTGGTTCTCAACCTTTTTGAACGAATCGCCCCCTTGAGCCAATGAGGAAGTTGTCATCGCCCCCCTCCCTCAACATAACCTCTCAATCACAACCTAGGAAATAATTCTTCTATTTATGCAAACACTTTTTTTGTTTTCTTTAAAATTGTCATCATTATATATCGGTGCAAATAATTTATTTCCAGTCTTTTTCCCGTATCTCCCATATTCTGGCCAATGGCGCGCCACTGTATGGGCAGAGGCTGCTGCACAACGCGCATGAAGATAAGCGATGCGTATTCACATATGTACGGCGTTCTGTACTGAAGCTAGCTGGAAGAACATTTGAAAACACAATTCAATCCACTAATAGCGAGCGATCTGATGTTTTTGTACGACAGATATACAGCGATTCACTGTATGAAAAAGTCTCAAAAGTGTCCCCAAAACTTCTCGCTCCATCGCCCTCATATCGCCCCCTTTTTGTTCCTTCGCCCCCCTGAAAAATGAAATCGTCCCCTGGGGGGCAATATCGCCCAGGTTAAGAACCACTGGTGTAAACCATATAAGCAACAACCTTACATTGAATATCCTCAACATATAAACCTTTGATTACTGAACTTTTTTGGGGTGTGTGGGTGTGTGTGTGCCTTTGAGTCAATACTGACTCCTAGAGACTGCCTGAACATAACCTTGTAATTTTCTCAGCGAGTTTTTTCCAGAAGCGGCTGGCCATTTTCCTTCTTCCTAAGGTTGAGAGGACGGACTGGCTCAAGGTTACCCCTACTGGTTTTGTACCTAAGGTAGGACTAGAACTCACAGTCTCCCAGTTTCTAGCCTGGTGCTTCACCACTACGCCAAATCTGGTTCCTACACCAACAAAACTGTCTCTGTTCTGAACCACCACCACCACAACAGCTTCTGTTTTTTTTCCCCTTACACAATAGAACAGACTTTTCTGATCAATGGTGTAAGCTTTCAAGGCAAGATAAGTGAAACTCATTTTTCTTTCAAAAATGACTATTCGTTTACATTTCTTTACTCATAAGTGTAATGATGCCCAATACCTGTCTGATTACTTACAATTTATACACAAGGCATTTGAGACACATGAAAAAAAAATGTATTTGCTGGTACGGAAATGCACCTTGTATCTGATTCTGGGTGATTCGTCCACACCCATCTCTGAGCAGCCAGGAATCTAGCCAACACCTCCGATCTGGCTCTGCAGAGAAAGATCACTATTTTCCCTAATATTGATGGCAGTGAGATTGCAGAGCGATCACTGAAAGGAGGAAGGCAGCCCCCGTGGCTGCCTCCCAACAACCCTTTCAAGAACATTGGCTGCCTGCAACAGGGAACAAGCAGCCCACGTGTCCAGCTCTGGCTGTGAAGGAAGTAATTACTGCTAGGTTTTTTTCCCCACTAGGATGTTTTTTCCATGATTTTCAACAGAGTAAGGGGTATGTCCATCTATGCCAGTGGTTCTCAACCTGTGGGTCGGGACCCCATTTGGGGTGAATGACCATTTCACGGGGGTCGCCAAACAACGCAGTCCGCCATTTCCCCCCCCTTTTCCTTAACTGTGCTACTCCCTTTTATTCTATTGGCTTTTGAAAGCCAATAGAATAGACTCTCTTGAACAGAGTCTAATTCTATTGGCTTTCAAAAGCCAATAGGAATTGTCCAGGCTGTCTCTGCCCTGCTGAGCCCGCCAAAAGTCCCATTCTGCAAACGGTGCTGCACCAGTTGAGTAGTCCTCGACTTACGACCGGTTGAGTAGTCCTCGACTTAGGACTGGTTGGGGGGTCGTGGCATTAAAAAGGTTGAGAACCACTGCTCTATGCATATTAAAGAGAAAGAAAGGGCACAGATGCTCCGACATGTCAGAGTCTTGTGGATTTCAGAGTCAAAACAGTTATCTTCCCCCCAGAAGATACAGAGCAGGGCAATTTCGTTGAGGGAAAAGTACAGCACAATCTTGACATGCAGAAATTCAAGGTCTAACCTGGAATCTATTTCACGCTGAGGAATAAAGAGTTTCACGTTCCTTTTTTATTTCTAGCCTGATAATCTCAGTTCTCAGTCTGTACCCTTTCGGTCCGTGAAACAAAGATTTCTGATTTCTGAACTTGCCTCTCCTGTGTCGTGGATTTCGACAGAAGAGCTTGGACTCTTCGCCACAGAAGCTTTTCCAATGATTATTTAATTTAGCTTTACCCACTGCCATGGGGCACATCAAATATGAATGTCACTCTCAGAAGCTGCAGGTCAAGGGGAGCAAGCCAGTAATCAGAGCAGTGCATTTTCTGAGCTGAGCTTCCATTACTTGAAGCAATCTAGTAAGTGAACTTAAAAATAAATGAATAAGCGGGCAGCCCGTGAGGGCTCTGAACTTGTGGTAGCAAGACTGACACTGGAAAATAACAAGATCTGCAAATCTAGGTGCATCTGCTCAACCCATGAACTCCTTTGAGGTTCTATAAAACTAGGAATAACCATGTCTAGGTTGATTATTTTAAGAAAATCACCTTCTTCTTCAATTAACAGCATACCGCTTGGGGAAAAGCTTTTCCAAAGCTGCCTCACAGTTCAATAATAATTGGTGTGGACCAGGAGTAGGCAACCTTGGCTCTTTTACGACTCGTGGACTTCAACTCCCAGAATTCCTGAGCCAGCAACGCTGGCTCAGGAATTCTGGGAGTTGAAGTACACGAGTCGTAAAAGAGCCAAGGTTGCCTACCCCTGGTGTGGAAAATTAGCTGCTCTGCTAATAGGGCCTGTTGTTCCTGAGAAAGTGCAACTCCCTGTAAGTATCCCACAGGTGTCCCTACAGGTAGTCATTGACTTACAACCATTCATTTAATGACCATATGAAGTTACAATGGCACTGAAAAAAGTAACTTATGACAGTTTTTCCACACTTAAGACCATTGCAGCATCCCACTGGTCACGTGATCAAAATTCGGATGCTTGGCAACTGGCCTGTATTTATGAGAGTTGCAGTGTCCTCAGAGCTACGCAATTACATCTGGTGACCTCCTGACAAGCAAAGAGTCAATGGGGAAGCCGGATTCACTTAACAACCGTGTTACTAACTTAACAACTACAGTGATTCACCTAACAACTGTGGTCGGAGAGGTTGTAAAATGGGCCACAATTCGCTTAACTGTCTTGCTCAGCAATGGAAATTTCCAGCTCCATTGTGGCCATACATAGAGGACTACCTGTGTTAAGCTTTCGAGCTGTTGTATTCACTGCAGAATTTCATCCTATTAGCCAATCTGGATGAGAAATAACCAACACTACTACAATAAGCAGAACTATGAAGGCCACTAACCAGTTTGGGAGGAAAATAAAACATGCTCACATTCTGAACAAGATTGGTGCAAGTTGGCAAGGGACACCTTGAAGAGTCTAAGTAATACACAGTGCCATTCATCTCATTTAGGGTTGCTCTGGAATTTAGAAGATGAATTAATTAATTTAAAAACAAAGGGTCAGGGAAGATTAGGTCAGATGGATAGAAACCAGTTGTATTATAAAGCTGTCCCCACGGTCATGTGATCAAAAGTTGGATATTTGGCAACTGGTACATATTTACACTAGTTGCACTGTCCTGGGGTCATGTGATCACCATTTGCGACCTTTCCGGGGTGGAGGGAAGCAAAGTCAACAAGGAAAGCTGGATTTGCTTAATGACCAGGGCAAAAAAATATATCATAAAATAAGATACAACTAATTTAGTGACTGCTTCATTGAGCGACAGAAGTTGCATTCCCAATTATGTAGTATGTCAAAGACTACCTTCTTCCTAGTATTATTCCCATGCTATGGCAGGGTCCACTTAAGTCAAAGACTACCTATAAAACAATAATTTAGGTTACTCAGTTCTCATTTCCCCCTCCAGTATTCAGTCACAGAAGAATGCTGGGAATATTCTGGTACATTTTCAATTCACAGGAGGTTATATAGTAACCTGACAACTTAAAAGAGCTGAGTATGTACCTCAAAACAGTACTTTAGCTCAGATCTTTTGTAACATATAGTTCAGCTGTACATAGTCAATCAAGAAACATTTCCTGAAGGTTGAAAATGTGTCAGCCAGCGTGGGCATGATCCTTCAATCGGTATGTTGTAACCTTTAGTTTATTTACAAGCAGCAAGCTAATTTTTTTTCAAATTTGTCTGAAAGTAATCTGTCTTTACCAGCAAATGACATTCCAAGTTTGCATTACAGTCTAGTACATCAACATATAGTATA